GCAGGCTAGAACTGTGCCAGCCTGCAGGGAGCTCATTGCAGAACTGGAAAATCCGCAGGTTTCTCTGGTAAAACAAGAAATCCGTGTTTGCCTCTGGCAAAAGGTAAAATCCCCTGTTTACCATTTTTCTGTGGGAAATGGAAAACCTGGATTCCTGGTTATGACTCGGGGGAGGGGGGGGGGGCGACCTTGGAGTCATTTTAGCTTGTTCTCTAAAAAAGGCATTTGATTGCCTCTGCACACTGAGCGAAAGAGCCAATAAAATGCTGGACATCATTAAGAATAGAATAGAAAACAAAACATGGAACATCATCATGCCATTATACAAATCTATGGTGTACCTACATCTTGAATACTATGTGAAGTTCTGGTCCTCACATCTCCAAAAGGATGTACTAGAGCTAGAAAAGGTACAGAGAAGGCCACCAAAATAAACTGGGGCATGGAACAGTTCCCATACCAGGAGAGGCTAAAAAGGCTACAACTTATCAGTTTGAAAAGAAGGCTAAAGTAGGATATGATGGAGAACTATAAAATCACGAGGAGTGTGGACTGAGGATACGGGTTACTGTTGTTTACCAGGACCCAAAATACTAGGGGGCACTTGATGAAATGAGTAGGTGACAGGTTTAAAACTAAAAACTTTTATGCAACATGTAGTTTACTTAGGGAATTCATTACCCCAGGAGGTGGTGGAGGCAGATGGCATGACCTGGTTCAAAAAGAGACTGAAAATAAATTCATGCATGATGGATCTATTAGTGACTATTGAACAGAATGGGTTAGAGATGCCAGAGAAAGCATCCCAAACCAAAAATGGTGGATGCCAAGGAGGGTATTGAATAAGGGATAGATGGTTCAATCCCTTCTCTCTATCTTCCATTTCTGCCACTGTTGGAGACCAGAATACTGGGCTAGATGGACCAGTGGTGTGACACAGTTATGTTTTTATGAGAAGTTTTAGCCTCGCATAAAAGCAAGTACATTCTAAAGAGACGGGCTTTTCTATGGGGAAATTCAGACTGCCAGGCAGAAAGCAATGATCTAGAGCAGGGGAGTCACATATGGCCAACAGAGGTGGGTCATCCAGCCTGTGGTGCTTTGCTTGGACTGGACAATCCGCCTCTGGCCTGTGGGGCTTCTCACCATGGCAGCCACAACTGCTGTGTCAGTGTGGCCAGCCTCCCCTTGGCTATGTTTAGCTGCCACCAAATTTCTGAGTTTCAGTTGCTGTTTGGAACACACATCACCAGTGGTGTTAAGCAGTGACACCCTTAACCTCCACATGCTGGCCCCTCCAACACAGTGACTCTGGCAGCCCCAGCAGGAAGCCCCGTGGGCCAAATGTGGAGATGTGTTCTCTGGCCTGTGAGAAGCCCAATGCAAATGTTTGATGCCCTTGATCTCGGGAGCTCATGTGCTCCCCTGACACTGGATAGAATAGCAAAGATGGAGGTGGGTGGGGAATGGTTTGCAGGTGTTTAGGAGATAGTTGTTTGGAAAAAAAGTTGTCTTGAAATCCCTCTTGCCTTACGGAGAATCCTGGTCTCCAGCAGGAAGCCCAGCTCTAGAAACACTGAGAAGACTCTGAAGGATTGTGTTATGATTGGTTTTATTTACCTTCCTGATTTCTTGTAGTAAAGATGATTTTAGTCATTAATTTCAGGCTTGCTTCTTTCTGACAAACCAAGTTTGAGATCCCTGGGGCTAGCAAAGTTTCCCCCCACTGGAGCTGCAAAATCTGGTCTGAGACTGGTGAAAAGTGACTTTAGGGGCAAATACTTGTAGACAAGGAGCAGAGCAGTGGGAAGAAAGCTGGGGTTCTGGGCAAACTCCAACAGCGGTTTGTCACAGTATATTTGATCAGCTGTGCCAACTGTGAAACTACCAGCCCCACATTGCCCAGAGGGGTTGGTTGGTGTGACCAGCTATACAAACTCCTGTTTGTTACCACATTGCACCGCTTCTCTTGGTGTCTGCATGCACGCATTCCCTAAGCCTGTTTGCACCAAGTAGTTCTGTAAACATTATTCACTGACTGATGCTTTTTGTTAGTAAATTCCAGTATGCAAAACCTGTATGGGGGCAGAATGACTGAAGATCGGATGAAGGCTGTGCGTGACGCCACAAGTGATGCCATTGACCATCTCTATAAATCTCTGGAATCTTGCCCCACAGAGGAGACAGTTGCCGCTGATCCATCTGGGCTAAGGGTGAGTAGGCCAGAAGTGAAAGCATTGCTCAGCCGAGCTTTCAGTGTTTCTTGGGATCACTACTATGGAACATAATCCCAATGATGATGATACTAAAAGATGGGTGATACTTGCATGTTGCCATTTCCTAGACAAATGTCCTGCCGTACAGTAGGCCCAGTTTCATTTAAGTCAAGACAAACACCAGTTTAAGACAGAATAGGAATAGGTTCCAAATTGCACAGAAACTCACCTGGTGCCTAGTAAGCACATGTCTAGATAGTTGAATAAGCTGTTGAAACAAGTGATGTTGGGCTCGTAAAAGACTTATTGAATTTTTCTGTAATTGTGAGGCATTTAATTTTTTTTCCAGATTGCAAGTGTGTGTATGAAACTTTACTGCAATTTGGTTTGTTTTGTAGCAGTTGCAGTCTCTCACTGTAGCAAAAAGGCAGATTCTGAAGTAAGATTCTGCAGATGTGGGTGTTAATTTTGGAAGAGAACGGAGAGGCAGGGGCTGAGCAGACAGTAATACTAAAATAGAACTTGCTAAACTGGACAGTTTGCTGAGCAGACAGTTGTACTAAAATAGAACTTGCTAAACTGGACAGTTTGACCATGAGAACAGGTCATGTCCAACTCGGCATGTCTTTGAATGGCATTTATTTTACCTCTAGGTCTCATTGCTGGTGCATCAGAAGCAGGCCCTGGCATGGTTACTCTGGAGGGAGAGCCAGCGACCATGTGGAGGAATTCTGGGTAAGCATATTGATGTAGTGCGTCCTTCCAGAGTGAATTAATACTGTCAAAAACCTGCACGACACTGTGGTGGCAATGATGATGCCCATTTGTAGTCAGAATCCATCTCCTGGTAAATGCTGTTTTCTTTCTTTCCTAAGGAAATATAATAGCTACCCCTTGACCCAAATCACTGGTTGCGGTGCTAAGTCCTTTCAAGTTTAGCAAGTATCCTAGTTTGTTACATGTGAGGTAGGGGGGGCTCAGAATGCATTTGAGCTATGTAGACTCATTCCATCAGGTAGTCTTGATTCTTCTATTTTTTTTTCCTCTTTTCAGCGGATGACATGGGCTTGGGGAAGACCCTAACAATGATTGCACTCATTCTGACCCAGAAAAATCAAGCGAAGGGGGAAGGAAAGGAGAAGAAATTAGAAATGTGGCTGTCTAGACATGGTATAGAACATCTTTGCTGTAAAGCATTTCCATCTCCTCAAAGTTGTGGGCTGACAGAGGTGGTCTTTGTATCAGCAGTGTGCTTAATGTGGTATGTGGATGGCCAAGGGCTGTTCCACAGAAGTCCACAATATGGCAGCTCCAAACTTGGCTCAAAAGGCAGACCTGTAGAAAGCATGTAGTGGGACCACAGTGCTCCACTCAATTTATAGGTACCATCTAGTTAGGATATCAACAAATTACAGCAAGTAAAGGAAAGCTAGGACAGAAAACACTTTCCCAAATAAACACTTTTGTCTCTGACCCACTAATGCAACAACCAGGCTTCAACCTTCCACAGAGCATTTGGACAGCCCTTAATTGGATGTGCGCTGGACATGACCGGTGTGGCCCCCTGATATACAAGTGGCCCCTGAAAACCTCGCCTGGCTGTGACTGTGGAAACCCAAACCAAACCATGGAGCATATAATAACATCCTGCCCCAGATACAAGTTTGAGGGCAACATCCTGGAGTTAGACTCACTATCCACCAAGGCATTAATCTGGTTGGGGAATTTGGAATTAAAACTGTGATGAAAGCTCTTGTTCCTAAAGCCATACGAAAGAAAGAAAGCAAGTTAAGAAGGCAGTGACTTACCACGTGTTGAATGCCCTGTGGTAACTGCCTGTGTACCTGTGCTTACTCCTTGGTAAATGACAGCTAAGCTGCAGTAACTTAGGTCTTGGTAATTGATATAAAAATTCATGATCATAAAGCACTTTTAATGTGAAACACTGAAAGACCAACATTTTTAGCTATTGATTTTATTGGAAAGGTGTTGTATACAAACTTCTTGTTACCACTGAACAGCAGCCAAGATTGTCAAGCACCTTCAAAATAAGCTGATGTTTTACATCACTTTTTATGGAGGAGTGGTGCTTTTAGTGTTCATACAGGCTTTCTCCAGAAAATGTACAACCCCAGGAGTACATTAAAATACTGGAATGCTGGAAAACACAAATCTGTCTTGCAGACTTGTGCCAATAGCAACAACAGGCCTGCTTTAGCAGGGTTGCAGCAACTGGGTAGGGACTTCTACCTCTTACTGTACTGCTTCCACCCCTTACTGTACTGCTGCTGATTAATTTCCTCTTCTGATCTTTCTGTTTAAGATTCCCCTGTTGAGCTGTCCCATGGCACTTTAATCATTTGTCCTGCATCCCTGCTCCATCACTGGAAAAAAGAGATTGAGAGGCATGTAACTAGTGGCAAACTGAGGATCTATCTGTACCACGGACCTAACCGAAGCAAAGATATAGCAGTGTAAGTACAAAGCCATGACTGTTCTGCAACAGAAGCAGCATGTTTATGCTGAGTAGCAGGAGGCTCTTTGTGTCAGAGTAGAAAAGGAGCTTGGCTCTAGCTCACATGTTGATGCTCCTGAATCTTAAGGCATGTGATACAATCTCACCCTCACCTCTTGTTGGCAATGGCTGTCAGTAGTGGCTGACATCTTCACTTACACTGTCAACAGCTCAGTCATTAGAGTGGAAGGCTCCAAACAGTTTCCAGCTCTGTTGAAGAAAAGTGATTTTAAGTTTAAGCAGGGGCCTTAGAGTTGAGGGATCTGGGTTTTCTATCACTGACTTGCCACATTATCTGCCTCTTCCTCCATTTCTCTGCTTTCCTTATGTCTGCAATGAGAATAATTCTTGCCTGTTTCAGTAGGCTGTTATGCCTATCTCTGTAAAGCACTAGAACTCCACAGATATCATACACCTTTCTGCTGCCCTCTATTTCATGACTTATTTTTGGGCCTGCTGGAGTTTAGTGGTCAGTAGGAAATGTACCAGCTCTTGCCTAACTGCCCCAACTTATAAATTCTCACGTGCTGGCTCTGTCTGTTGTACAAAGCAGATTCTCCACCCTCATCAGTTTCTCTTCTTTTTGTGCAGACTATCCAAATATGACATAGTTGTCACCACCTACGGCCTTATCTCCAAGGAAGTGCCCACAAAAAAGGAAGAGGGAGAGGTCCCTGCAGAGTACCACAGTGTGGAGGTAAGAAGCATGCTTTTGGGGTGGGGACTGCTTTCTAGGGGGGAGGGGGGATCCTAGAAGTAACATAACCCATCTGTAACAGGATGCAGGCTTGCAGCCTGGAGCAGTTAGCCAGCCGGTAACCAGCCGCGTGCCTAAAGGGCTGCAGCTAGCTCAGTTAGATAGTAAGAGGGGAAGTTGACTGGCTGACCTGAAAATAAAAGGGGACAGGAAGAGGAAGTGAGAGAGGATTTTGAGGGGGAAGTGTTTGCCTGGAGAAGCAGGTCTCTCCAAGGAAGAGAGCACAGGGTGAGAACTAATCCATGCTTGTGGGTGTTCATTGTGAACTGTTTATTTTCTCTGTTGTGCTCTGTGGTGTGGATTAACCCAGGGCTTGAAGTTTATATTGGATTGTTTGTATTTTCTACTGTGCTCTGTGGTGCAGAAAAACCCAGGGCGGTATCACCTGTGTTGTGAAGCCCAGAGAAAGATTGTGGCTGGGACCAGATAAGGAGAGTTAGTTTGAGGGTTCAAGGACTGATTTGAGTCTGGCAGGGTAGCCAGATGATCCACTACACCAGCATTTCTCAACCCATGGATTGCGAACCAAAAGTGGGTTGCAAGATTATATGAAAGGATCATGAACAAACTTTTTGGCGTCTCCTTTAAAGGAGAAAAACATAGGAAACTGCATCTTTTCCCTTATAAGCTGTCAGAGTTCCAGCCTGCAAGGGGCTGCTTGGGGACCCCCATGCTCCCCCCCATTCTCATGCCCCACACACCCACCTCCTGTCCCATCTACTTGGGGCCTGAGGGCAGGGGCACTGGGTCAGGACTGGCCATCAGTGTTTACAAATGGGTCCTGATACAAAAAAGGTTGAAAACCACTGTGCTACACCATCCTTGTTACAGGTAACACCCAACTGTGCTGTAAGTGAAGCATGAGAGAGAAAATTATTGTTCTTTTTCAGTCCCCTGTGGTTATTTTTAGAGATTTGTTCAAACAGGAGAAGCTGAGTGAGAGAGAGCTTGCAGTCAAATGCACATGGAAAACATGGAAAAATTGTCCTTCCTAAACTTGTTACCAGAGTCTGAAGCTTTTCTTTTAGCCATAGTAGATCTGTAATTTTCACACACCACTGCAACTAAGTTGAGTTGTCCTTTTAAAATAAGAAGCAGCATGCACAAGCAGTAGAATCTCCTCTTTGTTTCCTTTACCCACTCAGGCACCTTGTGAGCTGTTAAAATATGAATCTCTTTAGTTCTGAATCTTCCTAAACTCTGACACTGGGACCATTTAAATGCTGTTTCCCAAAAAAGGATGGAGAGCAGCATCCATGCCAGAGTGAAAGCCAGTGCAACTTTTAGTTGACCATATAGCACAGATCAGGGGTGGCCAAAGCACAGCATGCATGCCACAAGTGGCATGGGCATCTGTTGCATTATTAAGCTCCAGGTGCTTAATAATGAGAGAGACTGGAATGGAAGCAGGGAACTGGAGCCCCTGGCTGCATGGAGTAGAGCAGGAGCTGGACACTGTGGCAAGAGGAGGTATTGGGTGTCACTGCCAACAGCCAAATTAGTCCTTCCTAGGATCTGAAGTTTCTGCAGAATTCAAGGTGTTGGATCCCTGCTTGCCAGATAACCCTTCCCTGGCCCCACAACCAGTGCAGTTAACAGGGTTAACTATTTTAGCTCTTGGTGGTGACATGTCTCTTGCCTCAGCATCCTGCCTCCACCCCAGTCTGAACAGTTGGAGGCTTAACCTCCCCCCTCCCCTCCCTGAAATCCCAGGAACCTGGGGAGACCAGGGTTAGAGGGATACTTGGGGAGAGGTAGGGCTTAATTTGGGATACACCTGCCAAAAAGGTTATCCCCCACTGGCATAGATAGAAATGCATCTTGGCTCCCTGGGTGTGCCTGCATATTGTAATTTTATCCCTTATCTGTGTACAAGGGGCCTACTTATGGTTTTAGCAATACCTGGTCCTGGTGTTATGCAAGTGTATTGTGCCCATGTTTAAAGTGGTTAGATTAGTCCTTTTAGCTGTGCATTACATTAATCCATTATCGCAACCAGGCAAAACTCTACTTATTTGACATCAATATTTGTCATGCAGAACATTAAAATAGGATCCCTAAGAATAATGAAAAAAATCTGAATTTTAAAGGGCAGGCACATGTGTGTTTAATCTCTGGGCTGGTAAAATTTCTGGACAGTTTTGCAGGGCTGCTACATTCAAATAACAAGTGTTCCCAATAAAGCAATGAGAAGAGACCCAAAATAGAAGTGACATGGAAGCTAGGGACCCACATGAAAATTTCTGGGGCTTTCAACCAAGGAAAGACTTCCTTCTAAAAATACCTAGCAACTCATGGCTCTCCAGGATGTTTGCTTTTCCCAATCGTGGCCTTACCCTGGTTTATAAATCTATGTCTGCTTTCTTATCCAGGATACATCATCTCCCTGTTCCTCTCTGCTCCGCATTACCTGGGCTCGGATTATACTGGATGAGGCCCACAATATCAAGAACCCCAAAGCGCAGACCTCTTTAGCTTTGTGCAGGCTGAGAGCTAATGCAAGATGGGCTGTCACCGGAACACCGATCCAGAACAATCTGCTGGATATGTACTCACTGCTGAGGTGAGCTGACCCATTGTAAGGCAAAAAAATATGCTCTTGGTATCTTGAGCACAGTGTCAGCATCCTCTAGCCATCTTAAACCTTGGGACCTCATGTAAAGTAATTTTGGTATCTCTATCCAGCAATTCTTCAGCAATCCAATATAACCTAACCTACAGGAGTGTGGCCTTCTCATAGGGACAAGTTCTGGTTAGGCCAATAGTTATCTCAGTTCTTCCAGTTCTTGGCATTAGTTTTTCAGCTGCAGTAGTAGTCTACAAGTCTATAATGTCTCTGCACTCTGGGCCCTTGACTTATTGCTTGTAGCTATTCTGTTTTCATAAGGTAGAGAGGAGGGTACATCCACTCCATATATCTTAGCGTTGAACTGTCCATGGCACAGAGCTTAATTAATACATCTGTTCACTTTGCAGTCATTATTTCTCTCCTGTGGCATTGTTAGGACTTAGTTAGGAATAAGAATTTTATTCAAGTTACAGTGCCTTCCCACAAATGGGTTATAAACATAAATAGGCTTCCCTTCCTCCTCCCCCTCCTCCTACCCTTACCCCTTCCTTTCTCATTTTGGTTTGTTTTAGCATGATAAAAAATCTGATTTCATTCCTGAGTTTACCTTTAAGTTCCAGAAGGAACTCCCCATTCCCTGATTGCTTAAATTTGAGGTGACTAGGTGATTTTTGAGATATAGGAGTGGGATCATTAAGATGTATTGCCTTTTGGCAAATGTTGATGGTTTTTGTCCGACCATATATTAAAGCTGTTCAGAAATACAGCAGTGAAGATGAACTTGAGAGCAAAGTGAACTGCCTGTAGTGCCACAGGGAGTAAGATCTGCAGTTTATATTTTAGTATACAGAGATGTGCTATTACTTCTGTGGTTTCTTGTTCTGAGGAACTTTCCTCTTAATAGATTATAAGGTTGGATTGGAAATCTGTGGTTTTGGATGGGAAGAAGGAATCCAGTTCAGTTCTTTTCTTCTCCAACTGCCCTGCAGTTGGTATTGACTAGTTCTTCCTCAACTTCCCTGTGCCTACAGGTTCCTGCGTTGCTCTCCCTTTGATGAATTCAAGGTGTGGAAGTACCAAGTTGATAACGGTACAGTGAAAGGAGGAGAGAGACTGAGTATCTTAACCAGGAACCTCTTATTGCGGCGAACTAAGGACCAGCTAGACTCAACTGGCAAACCTCTGGTAATGCTTTCTTTCTGCTCCACAACATTTGGAAAAAGGCAACTATCCAAATATGTCAGTGTCCTCCCTGCAGCAATCAAATGATAGTTTTCTTCCTATAGAGGCTTGTCATAAATATAATTCGGTTTCTCTCTGTTCTGTAGTCCAGGAAGCAAGACTAAGGTTGTTTTTTTTTCCCTTTAGTTAGTAGGCTTGTTTTCTTGTCAGGGGAAAGCTATCCAGCTTCCTGAGCTGCTACATGCAGCTGAACTTGATTAGGAAAGCAATACTAAATGTCTTCAAGGCAGAGAAGAAAAATTTGAATTAATTCCATTTGTATATCCCTTTAATGGGCACTTCAGAACAGTAAATACACTGAGAACAGAATCGTATTGTATTGCATTGAGAATACATTGAGAACAGAAATCATTGTATGCGCCATCTTTTGATCCAGGCTTGCATGCGTTTTAGGTTTTTAACAGTGCAGCACCAAAGACAATTTTATAAGAGAACATAAAACTGTAGAGAGCAATCCATTCTGTTTAGTAAATGATAGATTACCACAGTATTCAGCACCCCTTCATAAACAGAGGCACATACCACTGCTGTGTGAATAGCTTATAGTTTCCAGTAGTTGAGTGGAGAACTAGGTAGCTGCTTTTTTCAACACAAAAAATCAATGCCATGTGGTTGAGAGGCAGGGTCTAATATTGGTTGTCTGTTTGCCTTTTTTTCTAACGGTTGCTGTCATTTCCTTTTTGCCTAGGTGTTAGCCAGGCAGAGCTTAACAGCTGTCTAGTCAGGTAGTCTGTGTCATAGTTTCTTTAGGATGTTTAAGCCTCCCAGAAAAAAAGACCATCTCCTGGACCTGTGTGATACTGTGTTAACTCTTGGAACCAAATGTGGTACTGTCCTGTCATTGGGAAGCACTTTGTTTTGAACTGCAGAGCTGAGGGAGAAACCAGTCTCAAGTCTAGATAAAGAAAACTATCAAATGTCATATTTCTTTCAGTGCAAGATATAGCAAATGAGACCTTTCTAGCTCCCCATGTTGCCAACTCCTGGCTGTCCTTGAGAGTCTTAAGTTTGTCAATGTTTTTTCTTTAAGCCCTTCCTTCTGTTATTGCACAAGCCTCAGCTTTCCTCTTTTTTTTTTTTTTTAAAGTAAGTTTCCAGCCTTCATGGACATAATAAAAAGCTTGAAAAATATGCACTACTTACCCTAGAGACAAAAAAATGCTCCAACTTTATTTTGCTTGGTCTTAATTTCACAATTTGGAGACCTAGGACTCGTTGGGGTTTTTTTTCTTCTTTTGAACATTTCTATTGCCAGTGCTGAGTGTTCACTCTTAAACTGGCTATGTCTTAAATGGAGAACACCAGAGAAGTGGGAATTGGAGAGGATAAGCTGCAGGAGCCTGGTGTGCAGGTTGCATAGAGTGTCCAAACATGGAGTTAGGTTTGGCTTGGTGCCTGAAACAAGACACACTTGGTGATTTCTAGCAAGTCGTAAATACTTGCTCTGGCAGTTGGATCTGTAGGGAAGGGGTTGGTGATGTACATTTGGGCCACAGGGGTATCTGCCCAATAATGTTGATTATGGCCACTCAAACTTGAATACAGTACATGCCCCCAGGTGCGGGGTAAGAGGGTAGATGCTCAAATAGACCCTCTCTCTGTCAGCTTTGTTTATTCTTTGCTATAGCCAGAGAGATAGAAGGCCCAAGGCCAGCAGGAAACACCTTCCACATGGTTTGACTGCCTTAAACTTTTGTGATTTCTTTTCTAAGATTAAATTGGACAAGAAATCTGCCTCAGTCCTAACAGTCTTGACTGTTTTTAAAATACAGGGTTGTCCTTCCAGGCTGCCACCTTGGTTTTCTGCCTTGAGTCTTGAACAATGTGAGGAGGTGGCTTGGTAAACTCCAACACCTTGAAATCTCTTAGGCCTCCAACCTAAAGCAGCATGAAGGATTTCCTTCCTTGGGAGGGCACTAAGTATATTGCTCCTCCCCAGGACTCCTAAATCATCAGGCAGGGTGGACCAAGAGTCAAGCATGCTGCGTGCTGTCTGCAGCAATAGAGTATTGCACACTTCTTGGTTGATGTGGGGGCTGACAAAGCTTCTGGGGTCTCCTTTCTGAATTCTTCATACTGTATATGGCTGGCTGACTGTGTGCGCTTTTGTTCTAGGTATCTCTGCCTCAGCGCCATGCTCAGCTGCACCAGTTAAAACTCTCTGAAGATGAGCAGTCTGTGTACAATGTGCTTTTTGCAAGATCAAGGTATAAAAGTGGTAGATGGAAAACACTCCCATCCTTTCACAGCAAAATTAAAACAACAGCTAGGAATCTGCTTATGCTAAATATGGGCCACTTTTTTGACACATTCTGCTTTCTCAATAGTTTTTTCTCCTCTCTGGCTCAGTCTGCTATACTTTTTGGAATCCTTGCTATTGCACTCCCATCAGTGTTTCCACAGGCAAGAGCATGATCAGTAGTGTGAATGAGCAACAGATGTATTTTACTTCCATTTTGTCTAGAGATTTAGTGGTAAAAACTTTGCCTCTTTCTACTAATGTTCTCAATGGTCGTAATGCAATGATGGGTGATTTTCTAGAAATAGTCTGATGAAGACTATGATTCTTGGATTGCCACAGCTCTTCTGGTAATATCCCACTCTTGCTCACTCAGCTCAACTCATTTCGGATCTCTGCTTATGCTCTGGATGTTTTCTATTATTTGTTCTCATTTGTAGGACAGCAGCCATGTGAGACTCCTTCACGAGCCTCCAAAGAATTTATTTCTTAAAAAGCTATTTTTTCTCCCTTCACAGTGTTTATCTCTGCTACTGCTCTTCCTCTGCTGGGCTGCTGCTTACAAAAGCTGTACACGTTTACCTTTTTAAATCTTTATTCAGTCAGTCCCTTTAACTCCCAAAGCAGCTTTGCTTCTGGGCATGTAATGCTCACATTAATTTGCATCAGCATACCACAAAGCATCTCCTTTCTGCCCTTTCTGAGGGCTCTGGGTATGCAACCCAAAACTTCACTGGCATTTTGGTCATTGTGTACTACACACCCATGTCTGACTTGTTCCCTTGTCACTTTAAGCATCATTGTTATCCAGTCCTTCTCTCTGAGTATCTTTCTCCAGACGCTCGCTTGAATTTTGCCCAGGATATTATCAGGAGGCCTCAGGTTCCTGCTG